TAAGAATAATTGTATGCATTTATAATAAGTATATTATTTTTTCTGTGTTTTGTTAGAATAAACCTTTAATTTCTGTTCTATTTATTTTTTGTGCTTATTTAAATAAAATGATTAAGGTTCCTGAGTCCTGATTACATATCACACCTAGCGGGGATACTTGATTCTTTTGCAAAAAAAATAACCAAGGTTGGTTAATGGTTTATAAACGACAGTATATTTATCAAATCATGTAAATAAATATTAGTACAATTATGTATTTACTTTTGTTCTATCTTCTTGGTTATATTTCCAGTTCCCAGTTACCCTATACATGGTGTATACGCTTTTCGTTTTTTTTGTAAAATTAGAGAGCACCTAGCCTTTAATAACAAGTTTAGGAAATAGACCTAACAATAATTATTTATCAACAGAATAAAAATTTTGGATGGAATAATAAATAACAAAGCAGGATATTTCTCTACAATATACTAGAACAATCGAATTTTGCACAACCCTCTATTATTTTAATCAATATTTTATTAGTTTTTATAGATAAATTACCACAATATAAATAAATATATAACAACACGTTCATAAATAAATTTCAACAGATTCATGCTATATAGCGAAAGTGATGTCACTCATTTCATGCTGTGTCAGCTCCTCCTCTTCCCAGTTCCCTAAAATATATAATAATTAAGCCTTGTTATATTGAAATTACGCTCCAGCAAAATGTCAGTATCCTTCGCAAATCATTCCGCCCAGACATTAATCTTTTACATTCCGACGATAGTCCTGACTTCTGCACTTTACAGTTCCCTGATATGATAATACGTCATGGGTCAGTTGACGATTATGTGGGTTGTCCAACAATTCTGTTAAAATTAAATTCAAACAGATAACGACTACCTGTCGACCTTGCCGCTGACGTGACTAATTTTATAACCATTAATAATTCATTTTAGTTTTATTTCTGAATGGCATCGCATAAAGTGCTGCAATCTTGTGGAAAATTAAATTATGAAATGTGGTTTGCAAATAGGCTGTTTTCCCAGCTTATGAATAACAATCAAATACAAATATATGCTTCTAGATAGAGAATAGGGCGAGATAATACAATCTAGATCCCTTAGATAAATGTGGTATTGTTTGGTAAATAATAAATTGAATAGAACGACAAGAATAACAAAAGACGCGACAAGCACCAACGTTAGATATGACGCATAGAACAAGTGTTTTAGCTCGACAGATGGTTGCAGAAATTTTAAAATCAATTGCTCATTTGGCAAAAGTTGAATTCAGTAGTTATGTTTAGATTATAAAAACTACTAATATTAACTTCTGCCAAACCAAATTCGCTATCCTGTATCGGTTATTGAAACTAAAAATACATTATAAATAAATTCTTGGAAAGTCTAAAATACATTTTTCAAACGTACCCTCGCGAATTAATGAAAACTATTTTTAAGTCCCCAAAGTGAACACAAAGTTATTGAAAAATTAAATAGACTAGGTACTAGTAATGCACGGTCTTCTAAAAAACATAAGGATGTTTTATGCATCCTATGCATCCTACCCTAGATCGTTGTATTGTGATGTGTATGGTGATTACAGCACCCCTTATAATTTTAGGACAAGCAAATTACAAAAAGTATTTTTTTTAAAAAATGAAACTTTTTGACAAAATAAATTAGGCAATAATATCTAGAATATGCATATACTTTAAAGTTTTCATTCTTCCAGTTTCAAAAAAAAATTAAAAGGCTTTAAATTTTAAAAAATTATTAACAAGACATTAAGAACTTAAATTTGGGTATTATATTAAGAACAGTGCTGTTGAAGAATGCATTTATTTTTATTAAGATATTTCAAAATTCCAATGAAATTCGAAATAAATTTTAAGAAATTTTAAAGATATTCTACATAAATTCCGAAGAAATTCTGAAGAAATTTCAAAGATATTCTGCATAAATTTCAAAGAAGTTCCAAATAAATAAATGAGAAATTCCATAGAAATTCCAAAGAAATTTAAAAGAAATTACAACAAAATCACAAAGAAATTCAAAATAAATTTTAAAGATATTCTACATAAATTCCGAAGAAATTCTGCATAAATTACAAAGAAGTTCCAAAGAAATTTTAGAGAAATTCCAAAGAAATTCTAAAGCAATTCAAAAGAAATTACAACCAAATTCCAAAGTAATTTGAAATAAATTTTAAAGAAATTTTAAAGATATTCTACATAAATTCCTAAAAACTTCCAAAGAAGTTCCAAAAATCCAAAGAAATTCCAAAAAAATTAAAGAAATTACAATGAACTTCCAAAATTTTTCAAAGAATTTCCAAATAAATTTCAAATAAATTCCAAATAAATTCCAAATAATTTCCAATAAATTCCAAATGATTTCCAAAGAATTTCCAAAGAACTTTCAAAGAATTTCGAAAAAAATTCCAAAGAATTTCCATAGAATATCCAAAGAATTCCAAAGAATTTTCAAAGAATTTACAAAGAATTTCCAAATAAGTTCCAAACAAATTGCAAATAAATTCCGAATAAATTCCAAATAAATACCAAATAAATTCTTAATAAGTTTCAATTAAATTCCAAATAAGTTCCAAATAAATTTCAATTAAATTCCAAATAAGTTCCAAATAAATTCCAAATAAGTTCCAAATAAATTTCAATTAAATTCCAAATAAGTTCCAAATAAATTCCAAATAAGTTCCAAATAAGTTCCAAATAAATTTCAATTAAATTTCAAAGAACTTCTGCATAAATTCCAAATAAGTTTCAGAGAAATTCCAAAGAAATTACAACAAAATTCCAAAGAAATTTAAAATAAATTCGAAATAAATTATAAATAAATTATAAATAAATTTCAAGGATATTCTACTTAAATTCCGAAGAAGTTCCAAATAAATTCCACAGAAATAAAAAAAAATATTCCAATATTCCAAAGAAATTTTAAAGAACTTCCTAAGAATTTTCAAAGATTTTCCAAATAATTTCCAAATAATTTCCAAATAATTTCCAAATAATTTCCAAATAATTTCCAAATAATTTCCAAATAATTTCCAAATAATTTCCAAATAATTTCCAAATAATTTCCAAATAATTTCCAAATAATTTCCAAATAATTTCCAAATAATTTCCAAATAATTTCCAAATAATTTCCAAATAATTTCCAAATAATTTCCAAATAATTTCCAAATAATTTCCAAATAATTTCCAAATAATTTCCAAATAATTTCCAAATAATTTCCAAATAATTTCCAAATAATTTCCAAATAATTTCCAAATAATTTCCAAATAATTTCCAAATAATTTCCAAATAATTTCCAAATAATTTCCAAATAATTTCCAAATAATTTCCAAATAATTTCCAAATAATTTCCAAATAATTTCCAAATAATTTCCAAATAATTTCCAAATAATTTCCAAATAATTTCCAAATTTTCAAATAATTTCCAAATAATTTCCAAATAATTTCCAAATAATTTCCAAATAATTTCCAAATAATTTCCAAATAATTTCCAAATAATTTCCAAATAATTTCCAATTTCCAAATAATTTCCAAATAATTTCCAAATAATTTCCAAATAATTTCCAAATAATTTCCAAATAATTTCCAAATAATTTCCAAATAATTTCCAAATAATTTCCAAATAATTTCCAAATAATTTCCAAATAATTTCCAAATAATTTCCAAATAATTTCCAAATAATTTCCAAATAATTTCCAAATAATTTCCAAATAATTTCCAAATAATTTCCAAATAATTTCCAAATAATTTCCAAATAATTTCCAAATAATTTCCAAATAATTTCCAAATAATTTCCAAATAATTTCCAAATAATTTCCAAATAATTTCCAAATAATTTCCAAATAATTTCCAAATAATTTCCAAATAATTTCCAAATAATTTCCAAATAATTTCCAAATAATTTCCAAAATTTCCAAATTTCTTCCAAATAATTTCCAAATTTCTTCCAAATAATTTCCAAATAATTTCAAAATTTCTTCCAAATAATTTTTAAAGAATTTCCAAAGAATCTTCAAAAAATTTCCAATGAATTTATAAAGAATTTCCAAATAAAATCCAAAGAAATTTCAAAGAATTTTTAAAGAAATTACAAAGAATTTCCAATGAATTTTCAAAGAATTTCAAAAGAAATTTCAAATAATTTCCAAATTTCTTCCAAATAATTTCCAAAGAATTTTCAAAGAATTTCCAAAGAATTTCCAAAGAATTTCCAAAGAATTTCCAAAGAATTTCCAAAGAATTTCCAAAGAATTTCCAAAGAATTTCCAAAGAATTTCCAAAGAATTTCCAAAGAATTTCCAAAGAATTTCCAAAGAATTTCCAAAGAATTTAAAAAGAAATTTCAAACAATTTCCAAGTTTCTTCCAAATAATTTCCAAAGTTCTTCCAAATAATTTCCAAAGGAATTTTCAAAGAATTTCCCAAGAATTCCAAAGAATTTTCAGAAAATTTCCAATGAATTTTTAAAGAATTTCCAAAGAATTTCCAAAAAATTTCCAAAGAATTTCCAAAGAATTTCCAAAGAATTTCCAAAGAATTTCCAAAGAATTTCCAAAGAATTTCCAAAGAATTTCCAAAGAATTTCCAAAGAATTTCCAAAGAATTTCCAAAGAATTTCCAAAGAATTTCCAAAGAATTTCCAAAGAATTTCCAAAGAATTTCCAAAGAATTTCCAAAGAATTTCCAAAGAATTTCCAAAGAATTTCCAAAGAATTTCCAAAGAATTTCCAAAGAATTTCCAAAGAATTTCCAAAGAATTTTCAAAGAATTTCCAAATAAATTACAAAGAATTTCCAAAGAATTTAAAAAGAAATTTTAAACAATTTCCAAAGAATTTAAAAAGAAATTTTAAACAATTTCCAAAGAATTTTCCAAATAATTTTCCGAATAATTTCCAAAGAAATTTCAAAGAAATTCCAAAGAATTTCCAATGAATTTCTAAAGAATTTCCAAAGAATTTCCAAATAATTTTCAAAGAATATCCAAAGAATTTCCAAAGAATTTCCAAAGAATTTCCAAAGAATTTCCAAAGAATTTCCAAAGAATTTCCAAAGAATTTCCAAAGAATTTCCAAAGAATTTCCAAAGAATTTCCAAAGAATTTCCAAAGAATTTCCAAAGAATTTCCAAAGAATTTCCAAAGAATTTCCAAAGAATTTTCAAAGAATTTCCAAATACATTACAAAGAATTTCCAATGAATTTCCAAAGAATTTAAAAAGAAATTTTAAACAATTTCCAAAGAATTTAAAAAGAAATTTTAAACAATTTCCAAAGAATTTTCCAAATAATTTTCCGAATAATTTCCAAAGAAATTTCAAAGAATTTTCAAAGAAATTCCAAAGAAATTTCCAAAGAATTTCCAATGAATTTCTAAAGAATATCCAAAGAATTTCCAAAGAATTTTCAAAGAATTTCCAAAGAATTTCCAAAGAATTTCCAAAGAATTTCCAAAGAATTTCCAAAGAATTTCCAAAGAATTTCCAAAGAATTTCCAAAGAATTTCCAAAGAATTTCCAAAGAATTTCCAAAGAATTTCCAAAGAATTTCCAAAGAATTTCCAAAGAATTTCCAAAGAATTTCCAAAGAATTTCCAAAGAATTTCCAAAGAATTTTCAAAGAATTTCCAAAGAATTTCCAAAGAAATATCAAAGAATTTTCAAACACTTTTCAAAGAATTTTCAAACACTTTTCAAAGAATTTCCAAAAATTTTCAATAGTATAAAAATCTGATTGACAGCCGGTTGGATCAAAGTTCCTTAATGCATTATTAAACTTCGACAAAAACAGATCACATAAGCAACTCAGAAATTAGGCATAATATCCTATGTTTCCAATCTACATACAATCTCTTAGAAAATTTCTTTAAAAGTATAAAAAATGAATATTAGTTGGCAAGAATATATGAACAAATGTTTCAAATTCAATATGTGTGGAACAATTTTATCGTTAATTCATTTTTTAAATATTTTTTTATCAGTTTGGCCGTACTTTTGTTCGACAACGTATACTAGTTAGCTAAAACTAAATGCCAACATGGTTCAAATGAATTTTCTGTTTGAAGTATTCATAGCTTTTTAATCATTCCATACCCAATACGATTTTAATCTAAAAGGCATTTTCAGACACATTTAATTTGGATCCAACAGCCCACTCAAATTAAATAATTAAACTGTCTGGTGAAAATGTCACAAATCCGACATTTTCTAGCTGAATAATCAAAAGAGGTCCTTTATTATTAAATGTTCATCCATAGGAACGAAATTCTGCTATAGACAGGGTGGCCAGACACTAAACAGATTGAATAACTGGGAGAATATTTGAAAAAATGTTAAAACTTTTTTATATTTTATATTACAACGTACAACGAAATGTAGATGTTTCTGTTTTCGTATTTTTTGACCTCGCTTCTCTAAAATCAAATTAAAATTATATAAACCAAGGAATATAAAAACTCAACACCCCCTCCCTTCATACCAGGAAAATACCTTCGTTTAAAAAAGTATTTACAGTAAAAAAATATAATTTACATTGAAATTGCATGATAACTAACATACTAAATTATACTTTTTTCTTCTAATAACTAATAACCGAGTGTCACAGGTCGTCTACGAGTAGAAATAATTAAAATTTTACATACATACATACACTGAGAAAAATATAAGTTGGAATAAATGTTTGGAATTCATGATATTTTTCAATACAAACATGATCTCAAAATAGATACATATAACATTTTTCTTAGTGTAGATATAAGACAGTTTTTTTTTATACTTTGTACAATAAACGCACAAAAGTGTGACGTTGTTTATTTTGTTATTAATCCAAAGATTAATGGGTTTATGCATAAACATCGCTGTGCTGAAATTATTGTGCTAACTTTATTTGTATCTCTACATGATAAATTATTAGAAGACGTGTAAGGTAAGGAGTGTGGAATTCATATTTATACATATCTAGACTCTTATTAAGCTTAATTAATCCATTATTTTTTCCTTGAAACTAATATCATGTATTACAGTTGTAAATAGGTGTAATATAGGTAGTTAGTTACTGCTTCATAGCAAATTACAAAATAAATTATTTAAGGAACTCAAAAATATTATTTATTTTTCATGTAATAACATAGTTGCGTCTTAACTTTTATTAGAGTTTATGTAAGTATATAATATTCACAAATAATACAGTTAAAATAAACTTGACAAATAAGGAAAGTTTACGATTTATTTCCCCTTTACATTTATGACTGAATTGGTCTTAAAATTTGCAAAAAATTACGGATTCTTTATAATTATACAGAGTGTCCCATTAGTGCGTTATTGTTCAATATTTCAATTTGTGTTAGAAAGCTCGCAAATAAAAGTTATATGGATTTAAAAAATACATCTATTAAAAATATATTTTTGGATATACAGGGTGTTGCATTTTTGCCTGACAAATAATAATGTATGTTTTTTAAATAAAACACCTTGTATTTTATTTCGGTTTTAGAATGGTTTGGTAATACTATATTTAATCCTAGAATTTTTTTAAAAAACATTACATCGTTGCCAAACAATTAATTTTTTTATGAAATTAGAGAATCTTGCAAACCCCAAATAAAATTATCATAATTTAGATAAATTCACATTGATTTTAAATTTGTTTAAGATACCGGGTGTTCCATTAAGAGAGGTATATTTCAGAAACTAATAATAGTACAGCTTTGGGGAAAAAGTAATTTTAACTCGAATTTTAATAAACACGGTCAAGAGAAATTGCTGGAAATTATTTTCAAGTTTGTAGGGTGGCCGCTGAGGGGGCGTAATTGTGACGTCAAAACATAAAAATGTAATTTTCTCAAAAAAATACCAAGTATATTGATAAATATTACTATTTTAAGCTTCAATGTTTTCTGAACAAAAAAGCTTTAGGTGTAATTTTTGTCAGTTGTGAAATAGAGTGGTGGTGGAAGGTTAAACTTTAATTTGGAAAAATGCTCATAACTCCGGTTTGGCGTTACCGAATTTAGTAAACTTGGTTTCGTTTAGAAGAACTTTTTCAGCCTCATTTTTAGCTTTATAAACTGTGGCTGATTACGTTTTATGAATGCCGCTAGAGGGCGTTAAGTTAAAAACTGACAAATTTTACGAAATTTTTCGAACAATTTAAATAAACGATACATAAGTACCTTTTTACATAGTTAGATAGAGAAAAAAGCCGAATACTTTGACGAAAACAATATTCCATTTCTATCACCACTATTCGTTAGCTTTTTGAGACTGCCCAAAGTAGAGTTACTAGATTCCTCTTAATTTATTAGGATAAATGTTTAATGTTTCTGGTTCAAAAACACTCTTAAAATAATTACAGAATAAATTGCAGACATCGTTATGCCAAAGAAGGCAGCAAAGCACCTCGGAAATTTTGAGTTGAAACATATGCCACATTTTTAGGCTATTTTTAGGCTCTTGAAATATTATAAAACTTTACCGCAAATACAGAAACAAGTTCGGCTTCTGTTTTGATGAACTCGAAAAAAAATGGTCTACGGAAGGGGTTGCTTGTCGGACGTCAGCTAAACTAACTAAAAAACATCAACAAATCGACCTCTTTGATATACCGCCCACAGACGGAGATATATTTTTATTACTTAAAAGGTTATTTAATAGTTTAATTATTTATTAATTATGTGCCCAATTTTGTGCCTTCAATTTACAGATTTATAATTTTATAGTAATTTTTACATGTAAAACAAGAAATTTACTGAAAAAAAGGCCGTTCTTACTGATTTTTGTTATAAAAATATTTAAAAATAGAATTATGTCAAATAGCTCATTGTTTTAGGATTACTACTGAAGTTATTAATGTTACTTTTAGTCAATTTAGTCACGTGAGATATGAATATTATTGAAGACTCTGCGTATGAGTAGGTATTATGATATGACTGATATTTAGATTTGATTTGAACATTTACTTTGCAATTTTAATATAATCAACAGGTATGGAATTTTTAACACGGACACTACCTTGTAATTGGTATTTACCCCAATTTTGAATCAATCAATCCCAGCTAAAACAACTTATTTGTATATTGTTCATCATTGATTTCGATTGTTTTTTCCGAGAAACCTTTTTTTTTTGAATAATTTATATTATTTCAAGAGCCTAAAAATATGGTGTAGTTGTTTTTAGAAAAACGCTTTAAAAAACCAAGGTGCTCTGCTGGATTCGTTCGAAGCTAGAAAAGCACTCTGGATTCTTTAAAAAATACATTTTTTTTGAAAAGTTATATATTGTTTTAAGAGCTTAAAAATAGCTTAAAAACGTAGCATAACTAGTTTTCTGAAAAAATAATAATAAACCGAGGTGTTCTGCTGACAACAAAGCACCCTCTATTATTTAAAAATAGCAATTTTTTTAGTAAACTTTTATAATATTTCAAGAGCCTTAAAATAGCCTAAAAATGTGGTGTAGTTGTTTTTAGAAAAAAGCTTTAAAAAACCGAGGTGCTCTGCTGGATTCGTTCGAAGCTAGCAAAGCACCCTGTATTTTTTTTAAAAATATCAACATTTTTCGAAAAGTTTTATAATATTTTAAGAGCCTAAAAATACCTAAAAATATGGTGTCGTTGGTTTTGAAAAAAAGCTTTAAAAAACCAAGATGCTCTGCTGGATTCGTTCGAAGCTAGTCAAAGCACCCTGTATTTTTTTAAAAATAACATTTATCGAAAAGTTTTATAATATTTTAAGAGCCTAAAAAAGCCTAAAAATATGGTGTCGTTGGTTTTGGAAAAAAGCTTTAAAAAACAGGTGCGCTGCTGACTTCGTTCGAAGCTAGCAGAGCACCTTGATTTTGCAAAAAACGAGGAGCATAAAATTTTTGAATAGGGTATAAAAATAGCCTTAAAATGGCCTAAAAATGTGGCATATGTTTCAACTCAAAATTCCCGAGGTGCTTTGCTGCCTTCTTTGGCATGACATCGTTACCATTATTTGCAGCATTTGCATCCAAAAACATATCTGACATACTGTTAGTTTCTTTAAGAAGCATACGTCCAAAATTTTTTTATTGTTTAGTGGTAAGTCATTTTCTAGCGTTTTCAATATAGTTTTTATAATCAGATTTAACAAGTTGTTTTCTATATGTTTTCCATTTTCTGTACCTTGGTTTCTTCTCATATGATAAGCTGATCCAAAACTTAGTACTTAGGTAATCACATTTTAGTAAAGAATTCATAAAACAAGTTATAAAATTTTTAATAACCGGCAATAATTGATTTCAAACATTCGAGATTATCGACCTGTTGCGGCTGATATTCAAATTTAGCAGACCTAAAAAAGTCAATGTCAATGCTAATTTTAATATTCAACGTCTGTCTTATGAAAGTAAGGCTGGTTCAAGGGCAATAAAAAATTTAAACGGTTAAATAAATACATATCAAGATAAGAAAGACACGCTACGCACAAGTATAACAGTGAAAATAATTCTGAAGAAAAAACTACACGATAAATTACCTTTCTTTTTCTCAATTAATTTTAGAACAAAAGAAATACACGAAGTTCCGTTAAATGTGTCTCTTAATCTTAATCTCACTGTACTTTATTTTTCTAAGAGAGTAGGATAAATATATTGTTTTCGCAAAAAGAAGTAAAGGAACTGAAATGGGTACTGGGTAGGTAGTTGCTTATTTTTAATTAACAAGCCGGCGTTAAATCACTTTTATCTTAATTTCTAATTAAATTTGATATTCG